TTTTTAAGAACAATTCCTGGCGGAAAAAACCACTAAGGAGTTCGTAATTTCTGCATGATGACGGTTATCTTAAGTACTTTCCTAATAGCGTCTCCAGAGGCAATAATATGCTCAATCGGCATCTTTACGGCTGACTTAGCTCTATGGGCACTCATTAGGACAATAACGTCATGGTCAAGTTATGCCATCGATGTATGAATGACAGGATTTATGCCATCGATTATCCAGTGGCGGTTCAGGAACTGGATTTTTGTGCCATTATGCAACCGGCCTCAGCATAAAACATCGATAGAAAGATCCCTCAGTGTTTGTCCATCCCTTCCAGTCCAGGTTGTCTGACCCTCGCGCTCACTTTCTCTACCTAGCACCCAGAAAACTTGTTAAGAAATTCGAAGGCGAAAGCCAATCTTATTAGCGGAACATCGTCTTACAGAGACTCAGAACCTCTTTCGTACTGATAGGATCGAATCATAGAGGTCATCTTATTGGACCAAATAAGCGTGTTTTAGTCCGTCAAAGGTTTTATTCCAACTGAATGTTGATCGATAGCTCAGGATAGTTCAGAACTTCGTGGAGAATGTGAGCACATATCTGGTCTACACAGCGACATCTGGTGGTCAGCCAAGCTCCAAGACAGTGCCTTTTGTCTCCCGGAAGGAGCCTCAGGCCAATCTGTCAACCCCACAAGCTTGAGATGTGGACTTAATGGCAAATGGGAGCATCTCGGCAGTACACCCTTTTGCCGCGGATCTCAACAGAGCACCTCCCTGCGCTAGGGAATGTTTTACTAAATACGACCCCCTTCTCACAACCAATTCATCATCTTGCCAAATATCCCTATAAGAGCCGTCGAGCGTGGGATGGCGAGGGGGCGCCGGGGTGCATACTCTCGAAATCCCTGAGATGTGGTGGGCGTGGCTGCGTACTTCGACTAAACTTGGCGTCGGCTATGCTTTTGGGAGATATTTTCATTTTGAAATAATTGTGGTCATGTCTTTGTCCAACACTGAACAGGATGACCAGTGTCTTCTCATAACCGGAGACGCCCAAGAGTAAGCGCTCCTGCGCCAACGGGTCCACATTTCCACGCCTACTCCGTTTCAGGGATAAAGAGTATGTGTGATACGTGTGAAAAAGGAGAAATCGATAAATGGAAAAATTCATCCATAACGGAAACCTTTCCTTCCAGCGACGAAATACGATGCCTAACTGGGAACTCCCCAATGCCATGATGTGCCTTGGTAATAAAGCCCAACGAATCGGAGATATGCGGTCTGTCAGCGCTGTGTGGGTTTTGGCACGGCGCCAGCCCATATTCTACTGATCGCTGCGGTTTCGGGCGTTCAATGAGGGTGGGAAATACGCTAAAGGCGCCAAAATCCTCACGACGCTGATGAGCCCCGACTGATTTAAGTACCTTTTACTTTGGTACTTTTGCTTCGTTGCCCTCCTTCTTGGACCCGCTGCTAATTTCAAATTATTGAAGAAGTAAACAAATAAATAAGCATAAATAACAAGGTCAAAAGGAACGATTGAAAGACAAAGTACAGGAGGACTCCAAGTAAAACTCGACAAAGCAAATTTGAAACGTACCAGATTCGGCATCTTTCCTTGACTCGGATTGAGATCAGATGCTTATCGCCGGCGTAAACGGTCGTCAACTGGTCATAGTCAGGCATAGCTGTCTTTGGATCGACATAATAATCAGATGGAACAGGTCCCATGCCATATCTAAAGTAATCTAATGACAACTTTAAAACTGACAAATGTCTTAGGGGGGCAAGGAGATTACGTTTGCGGCCGACGCGGCCGAAGGCAACATTGCCACAATAGCGTTTAATCATTCTCGCTACGAACCATAATCCATTCAACGCCGATGTATGCTATAGTATTCGAGTCAACTAGCTAGGAAATACTAGATAGTTTCAGTGTGGCGCTTTCAGCGTTGCGCCGCAATGCGGGTCTCTCGACGAATGCTATTATTCATCCACTATCCAACAATATTCTGCTAAAACCAGTAAAATAGTGTACCGTATTGTGGCGGGACATTTTGGATCTCCGTTTTCGACCCGATTTCCTCCCCAATGTACAGGCCACCCGTCCAAATTCACGTATTGTGCCAAAGCCCGCTTCCAGTCGGCCTGAAAGTCATGTATTCAGAAGCGCAAAAAAACATGAAGGTAGAGCTGGGCAACTGAGTTTTGTATCACTCGCTGAACTTTTTATCTTACAATCAGATCTTGATTTTTTTTTATTTTCATAGAATATTCGACTAGTACTTCGAATTCAAGGGGGTAGCGGCATGAGCGAAGAAGTACTCTTCTTGGAGTGACATAAAAGAAGCCGGCGCTGCTTGGGAGGGGCATTTAGCACTCTTGCTAGTCCCTACTAGTTCTAGTTCATGCTAGTAACATGTAACACTCTGGTGGGGCCTGTGAACTCCTGTGAAGCTGGAAAATTGTATAAGTAAGCCACTTTGGTTAAAGGAATTTACAGGTCTTCACAATGCGAGTTTAACTAGCTTTGTTGAGTAACATTTGGCGCGCGCACCTAGTCAAACTGCACCTAGAACTCTTCGGTTTCGAACGCGAGTGAGCAAAGATCTAATAATCAACTGGGTGGTCCCCTGCAAGACCACCGGGTCCTACACTCCTTACGATTAGCTCCTCTCCAACTGTTTTGAGTTCACTTGAGTTTTTCTACCAAGGCGTAGCCCTAGTTCCGAATATCTCCTTTTCAACAGCCTGGTTCCGAATATCGTCTGCAGACAGGCCAGCAGCAATCGTGTCGATCTTCAGTTTATCTAGCCATCGCATGTCGGCCTCTTGGACCCGAAATTCCCCTTTAAAGACTACTGGAAGTATTGAGATTGTCCAGAGCCGAGAGAGAGAGAGAGGAACGGAGGCGAATTTTGTGCCAGTAGGACGGAATGCAGTATCGCCTTCGCGAAGAGGAGCGCGTTGACGCGCTTCTGAACGCAGTCTAATTAGACCTAGGCTGAACCCTACTCCGGCCGTACGACCTCCAGCAATTAAAAGTAAAAAGACAGGAAAAATCGATGTAAAAAACGGCACAAAGTTCAGTTCCAAACGCACACTTCAATTCAGTGTACAGTACCTCAGAAGGCATCTCAATAAGCCGTGTGATAGGATCGCTAAGGATGGCTGTGATTGAGGCATAGGCGATTCGGGCCATTTCAGGTGCCCTGCAACAAAATTTTAACTCTAAAGAAAGTAAGGAAGGGTAAAGAAAGGAGTAAACGCAAAAAAACAAACATGAATTCCCACCTGATGATCAGAATTTTTTTCAATACCAGTGGATAGTGTTCTTGGAAAAGCGTTACCAGTGTAGTAAATGAGCTTGCAAATTGTCTACAGGAAAAATGGGCAGAGCCAATATGATCCAAATCAAACACCAACATCATCTGCTCGAACGGCCGGCCACTCTAAATTCATTACTTGAAGTGAGGAGGGTCATCAAATCAACGATATCAGCTCTAAAGTCAGTTATCACTGAATTCAGCCTCTAAGTCAGTTACCCCTGGAATTTCAGATTGGTGCGTCCTGGTCAGTGGCGAGTGGAGCGGTTTGCGTGGTGCCCAGCGCTGTTTCAATCGATCGTTGCGTACCTTATTGGTTAGGGAATGCAGTGTGAGAAGAAGGAGCTACGCAAAAACCCCAGCATACCTTACACGTCCCAACAACTTCAAGTGATAGGATGTAATGCCTTAAGGGCCTTTGAGTAGCGTGGTTGCAAATGTGGTGTCCCAATGCATAATAAACAATTCGATAAATAAGCCAAATAAATGAGACAAATAAGTAAGAAATATAGGAACGATTGAAACGATGAAGTACGGAAATGGGCAAAAGAAAGATAGGTATGTTTCAGAATCACTAGTCCCACGACTGGAGCGGTTTCCGAATAGTTTTGGCGATTTACCGGCATTGATTATATACGTACTCGATTATTCTTTCGGAAGAACAACGTAACACCTCCTTTCTCCAATGGCAATGTCCTGGCGCTGGGACGGTTACGGGGCTGTTGTCAACCAGACGTGCTCTCGCTACGAGGGTCAGGGGTATTTTCACGAATCATCTACTAGTCCAGTAGTTGGAGGGAGAAGGTAAAGGAGGAGGGATCAGAGAAGGAAGGAAGGAAAAGAAGGAAGGAGGAAGAAAAAATGAAAGAGAGGAAGAGGGTTTCCGGTTGACAAGTGCCTGAGGCCCGCTGGGACAGATCTTGCGAAAGTATGACTCACGGAATCAGCTGCAATACGACTCCATCGCATGCAGCACGTACCATGGACGCCCTGGTCTCGATTGTTCGGTGTACCATATGTTGCGAATGTCCTTTTTGATCAAGCTCCTTCCTGAGATGCGCCACGCAACCGGCTTTTATTGAGAATTCGCAATAGCCTTTCAACATGCCCTTGGGCCATAGAATGACTTGTGGGGACCAGCACATATGTGAAGTCACGTCTTCGGCGCGTTTCAGCTGGGTGGTGGGGGGGGGGGGATTTTACGCTTTTGCGTGTTCCCATTGCTATATTCATTGCATGTCAAGAGTTGACAGGTATCTCTACAAGAGTTGACAAGTAGTTTTTTGAAGTTCTACTGGTATAACTTCATAGCTTCACACGTTTACATAAAACGCCCCCGTAGCCGAACTGCGGACACGTCTTGTACCAATTAATCGGCCCTCAGTGTGATGGAATGGGGCCAGAATTGGATAATTTGATCACAGGGCCGTGCCCGTGGTATCGCCGCCACTTACTCGTAGCATCACCTTCGCCGCATTGGGCACCCAAAAGGGTGAGGTTTTAGGGGTTAATGAACTCCGTTCGGGATACGGCATGCCTTCCACTTTCGTTCAGAACCGTGGCGATTTGGCCTAAAGTTGCGTGCCCAAAGTTTTTGTTCTCCCGGACAAATGGAGCCGCTGACCGGGTCTAGAGATTGACCACCGGACCGTGCCATAAGCGCCACTGGCCCCTAAATCACTTCCAGTGGTGCAGCAAATTTCTTCTCCCTGGCGTTAGTCCCGCGCCGTCGCAGGGTCCGCTGATACTTTTCCGACTTGTCATGATTGTTGTGACGGGTTCCTCCATCAGCCGGCCTGTCAACCTGGGCCTGACGCTGCCCCATTTTTGCAAGGCAGGTTTGTGCCTCGGCAGGGATCGAACTCGTGGCTCAGGGTGCGAACATGAGTCTACGCTCTTAACCACTCGGCTATCCTTGCCCCGGTGCAGCAGTGGCGCAACAATGTCTATCCCTTTCTATGTTCACTTTGCCGGATTCCGTGCTAAATACAGCAAACTGGAGATTGATGGGTGCGAGGAAACACTTCTTTTGTCCCTAAAAGTTATTGACCACGACAGGTTACAGTGATGTCGGTATGATTGCGAAATACCACAAAACTAGTGGTTTCACTAAAAACTCGTTAGTCATTCCGAGTGGTATTACCTACAGTACGCCTAATCGATTTTTTGGGGGACGACAACAAATTCTCTCTTTGATGGATCGTTCCAGTTTTTTAAGATGGGGAGGGAAGGGGGGGGGTGGGGTGAATAGCGCCAAAAGTCGAATCGAAATTGAAGATTTCCAACGAAGCCCATTCTGGAAGTTTGGAGGGTAGAAGGATTGGAATCCTCTCACGGATACCAGTAGTGGGTGCGCCCTAGGCCCTTTTCGGTCCATGGACGCAAAACTTTCGACAGCCCCGTCCATCAAAAATTGAAATTTTGTCAAATTTTTTCCATACTTCTTTCCATTTTTATAAGGATACTCTCGCAACTTTCGCTGCATACAAATAGAGCCTTGTTCACTGTGGATGAAGGGGTGTGTCAGGGGCTAGGTTTGGCGCGCTGCCAGCACGTTCTCCACCAGCTGTTGAAGAAGGTAAGCGACAAAATAGGTGGAAAACGACTGACGCGAACGATATCAGGAACTCGTGTCGCGTACCGAAAAAAAAACAAAAATTAACAGGATGGGGCTGCGGCAACCCCCCCCCCTCGACATCATCCCGCAACGGCAACAAGAACTGTAACTTAAATTTTTTTTTTTTTTTTTTTTTTGGTTTGCGTTTTCGTGTTTGGCGGTCGCGCTCCTTGACACCTTACCATCCATTACATCAATAGCTGTCAGTTTCAAGGACGAACAAACGATGGAATCGATGCTGGGGAGTTTTTCCTACTCTGACCACCCTTGTCGTGTTCAGCTCCATCATTGTGGATGGGGAGCCAGCAAAAAATAAAATAAAAATAAAAATAATAACAAAAATAAATAAATAGACAAATAAATAACAATAACAAAATAGATAGAAAATAAGAGTAAACCGCTAATCAGTCTTCTTGGGATGCGCCACGCATTCATGTCATTCAGATCGTCAATAGCACTTGCATGAGATTTAACCTATACAAGGACCCGAAGGTAGCCCGGGTGCTTTCAAGGACTTGGTCAAGTACGCAGTTAAGCAGAGCCGAAGAAAAAAAGCTCTAGTTGGCTAGGGCGACGGAGATCTGTAGGTTCACGCAGGCACGTACTGGTCGTGAAACTATTGAGGAACAATACACTCGGAGATTCCTTTCTTTTCTCGTGACCCCTTCACCATCACTCTATCCTGCCCCATTCCTCTTGATTTCTGCCACTTCCTAGTGTTGCGGGTTTTGTTTTTTCTAAAGATCTGCTTAAGGATGTTCAAAGAAAAATTGCGTTGGCGCTGGTGTGGGGTAAGGGGGGCGTGTGGAGCGCGGGGAAATAGTGCGCTAACCGAAAAAAAGAGGACAAGTGAAGAAACCAAAAGAAACATTTCTATAAAACGAATGCGACTCCTCACTAGGACGCAAATAGACCCCACTCGCAGAGGGATATCCAACGTAACGCACGTGTCTGGTCTCACTCTAGCGAATTGTTGGCAGCAAGTTAATGTGACGGCCGCGCAGGGTTTATTTGAAATCTGTTGATAAACACTGTCAATGAGCTTTAGTATTTTTGGCGCGTTGAAGAGGATGGAGGGGCAGGGTGTCTTTTTACTTAAGAAATTTTTTTATGATTACTGGATTCTCGATGTACATGCGCTTAACACGCTGCACGCCCCCCTGTCCTTCCCTAATTAGGCAGCTGCGAATTATCTAGCTCTGATATTGATTGAAGGTGTCCATCCCCTCCCCCTTCGGGAGCAACCGAGGGCAGCTTTCGGGAAAAGTGGGGAAGATGGTAGGTAGGATGGCAAGGAGAGGTCAATAGAAAAGGAGCAAGCTGGGGGAGGGAGAGTGTTATAACAAAAATGTTTCCTATCAACATGATGGTGTGGCGCTGTTAGACGAGCTCGTCTCGCAGTCCCAAGCGAGTGGGTTCAAGAAGCACAACCAAAAATGTGCTAATACAGTCCCGACCACCACGCATTCGCACTCAGGTAGCATCGTTGTGTCAAATCCATGGGGGGGGGTCGTACTTTTGCTCTGGGGAGGGGGGTCGTATTTGGAAGACAAATTTATTTTGATAGTTGATTTTTTCTTGTGGTTTTTTTGTTTTTATATTGCAGTTTTTATGCCTATAATGCCTCTGTATGCCGGGGTATACGTTGCATATTTATTATATACCCCTCATCCGCGACAACTTTTTCGCTCGACTATATACTCATTGCTGTCGTCGGCGACAAGCGTGAGGTGTTGGGAGGTGTGGGGTGGGGGGGGTGGCGATGGCTGGACTCCATCGCGAAGGGGGGGGTCGTATCAACGAAATTTCGCAGCATACCGCAAGCTGTAGCCTGATTCCACATCAGTCCAGAATCGCAGTGCAATTTTTGAAGGACTTGGCCTGCGTAGGTCACATGGTGCCTGCCGCGCCTTAATAGTGCCCAGGTAGACAACAAGGACAAAGATTGAAAGCAACGATAACACTGGGCTAAATTACAGCGAAATTTGGCCGATCGTCGATCACAGCACGGAATGTCAAATCAAGCACACGATCATTAGAGAAAAAAAGAAAAAAGAGAAAAAGAAAAAGGTCACAAAAAGCTTCACTTTGGGGTTCCAAACAACACAGGAAACTAAAAACAAAAGAAAAATAATAATTGAGTGAAGGTTCACCGATCAAAGAAGGTTCAAAGTACAGGAGTTCAACCTACTTGTTCTGCTTTTTGAGCACATAGTTCCAGTCCTTTTTCGATGGCGGCTAACGAAAATTTGATATAATCGAGTGAGGCGACTGATTTCAACATTCCTGAATAGTTTTCATGCAGTTTCAACTGTGGGCACTCAATCAGCACAACCCCAATATTTAGAACAATTTTTTTAAATGTCTGTTTTCCAAAAATTAGAGGGCAGGAATCTTGTAAACATGATGAGGGAGGGAGTTCTAGTGTGAAACGGGGTGCTCGTGCTCGTGCTCATTCCACCCTTTTTCGTTCTTTAGCCTATACAAC